CCCCCGGCCCCCCCGGCCCGCCGCGTACACACCCACTGAATCCCCAGCCCCCCCCGTGCCTCGCGCGCAACCACTGAGCCCTCAGCCTGAACATCCGGCACACCCTGACCCACCCCAGCGTATCAAGCGAGCCAAGACCCTCCCAGCCAGGCTGAGCCGGGCTGACTCGGAGGGAAGCCAGCACGCGACATGAAATGAACATCCATGCTCCCCTCTCAAAGGGAGATATGCAAGTCAATTAGAGGCCGATGCACACACCCATGCATGCTCTGCAGACTGCACATGCACGCGTGGCGGCTGTTCGTTCCGGTGGAGGGGAGAGCGAGTGAATCTTTGCGCATACATGTCTGTTTGGGCAGAATGCTTGATTACAGGCGACCGCCTCTGACGCCAAAATGTACCCACACAGCACACTAATGCAGGCAGCCAACAGGATCTTTGAAGTAGGCCACTGCCCTAAACCACTTAGCGTAAAGGACTGACGTCCTGACGCCACGCCATGCCTCCGGCTTTGCGTCCGCTCCAGGTCGTCGCCTCGTCTTGGCTCTTCTGCGCTCTCGCCTCTCCAGCCTCTTGCTCTCCCGTCTGTGACTCCCCTCCTTATCCTCCTTATTCCCCTACCCTTGACTCATATGTAAGTACCCCCCTACTAAGTGACTGTAACCCTAGTGGTCACTCCGTGCAGCCATGGCTGAAGCGTCATCTCCTCTGGATCGTGGTCCTCGGCACCAGAGCCCAGGGAAACAGAACAGCTGAGGACAGTGCAGCAGGTTCAAAGCCCCTTAGAGGGCTTCTCCTGCAATTCTGGAAAAGGGACCAAGCCTCCATTGGGGCGGGGCTGACTACGGTGGCGACAACAACTCTGCGAAGGATCAACCGAAGAAAGGCCGCCAGTGGAGCTTTGGCTGTGAACCTTTGTGAAGGACATGTCGTAACATAGACGCTGAATGTGGGGAAGACGGCAGCGCTGTACAAGATCCATTGAAGCGTGTGCGGCGGCTCCAGACCACTCGCAAAGCTCTTGCTGCCATCCAGGGCGATGTCGCGGAAGCACGGAGGAAAGAAATGCGCTGGCCATGGGGTGAGATGGCTGCTGGTTGTGGTGGGATGCACTACACACAGAGGGGGTAGGGAAACTGACTAACTGGAAGAGGAACGTGGCAATGTGAGCTGACAGAGCCTGACTGGCACCTGCGCAACACAGCTGGCGATCTCGGTGAACACGTTTCCCCATCACCTGAGGGAGCCTTGAAGGGCCTCCGGCATTCGTGGGCACTCCCCGGCTCTGCTCTGCGCATGAGAATTAGCAACCACGGGTCCCTCCAAATTTGTAATTTGTAATTTCAGTCTCACACATCCGCGCCAGCTCTGACGGGCCATGGGCGAAGGTTTCGGGTGTATATTCACTGGTGGTTGGACTTTGGTGCCTATCTGTTTAAGACTTTTTGACATGCTTGTGGCTGCAGAGCTCCCCTAATTCGTAATTCATAATTAGTCACACTGAGCTCCTCTGAATCCGTAATTCGTAATTCGTAAATTCGGTGCACGCCCTCAACTTATGGGTAGGCTCGTCTTCCGTTTATAACGTATAAGGATCTTTTTATAGGGCTCTCTTACTTTGACTGTCGTCATACCAAGCTCCCTTAATTCGTAATTCGCTGCATGCCCTCGCTAGCATGTCCGCCAGGCTCCCCTAAGTCTTGGTGAAGTGGCATATGCTGCTGTGGCCATGGCTACTCGTGTTCGCTGTAGTTGGCCTAGTAGGCCTTGGTACTTAGTCCCTTGTCGAAAGTGCACCAAGACTTAGATCAGAGCGACAGTAGAGCCACTCCCTTTGACATGTCGGCGCAAGTCGGATGTAGTTAAACTGATTCACTAATTGGCCACAGGCGTGCCCATAGCCGATATCTTGTTGCAAATCATCCGACTTGATGCCACGCGGAGCTGGATTTGCGTCCAACCTAACAGCACTGTTTGTGAAGTCTTGACGACCTCACAGGAGGGTTGTGATCTGCACTTACCGAGGGTAGTCCCCTATCTCTCAGCGGCCACAGGCGTGCCCATGACCTGAATTTAGGACCGACCTCGTGCGGATCATGACAGTTGCTCACACAAGGCCACATACCCGACGACTTCTTGTATGTCCTTTGTGTGTTCTGTTGGGTCCTTTGCTGCAAATTGTCGGGTTGAGATGGGCCTGGACTGACTCCCTAGACCAATGAGCCTAGGCGGGTCGTGTACACAGTAGCAGTGAGGTGTATGTCAGCCTCCACACACAGCAAAGGGGAACTGCGCGGGGAATACTGCACCCATGAACGGGCCACAGGCGGGCCTATAGGAGATTTCGCTCATCGGCGCCCGGGCAGTTCGCCTTTGAGATGTACCAAAGCGGGCCGCCTCTTAAGGCCAGCTGTTTCACAGGGGGATGCACCGCGGGCTGAATGAAATCCATCTGGTTTGCTAGGTGGGTATTGCGTCCTACCGGGCCTTCAACTAGTGTAATGTGGCCCCGCACCGACCTGCTGCATCCCCACGAGCATTTCATGGACATTTGTAGCCATGCCATGTTGTCAGGCTGGATGCGAGGGCGTGTGGTTATGGGCTTCTGGACTGTGTGGTTGGGCGACTTTGTGCCTTGGGATCGCTAACCTCTCCTCTGAGTATCCAGCCTGGCCGAAGCCGTTAGCAGACATTTGAAGTCGCTATCCCCCCGGAAGCCTGACAATGCAAGCCGGACGGCATGCAATACGGCTGCCATGTGCATAGTTATGTTGTGGCCGCGCGTGGGGCCGAGGCAAGGCGGGACACGATGCTGGGTTCAGGGTCTAGTCTAGAGTAGTGTATTCCTGCCTGCCGCGCCCTCAGTAAAGCTGGTCGCCCTGCCGTTTTCAGCCACTTGCCCCGGGTTCTTTGTCTGTTGGGAATTTGTTGAGTGTTGCTTTGGGGCTTCCTGGTTTGGTGTTAGGGGGGCACTCAAGGGCTGAATTCGGTGTCTACAACCCCACACGTTTCCTCCTCTGAATGCCTTGGGCGAGAATCCTCCGGGTAGGGAATGTGCTCTCCGATCCCTGGAGGAGGTTTCCTTTTGCCTTTTTCCGAGACCGACCATGTAACCCCGCTTTGCTGTGGCTAGTCGGGTGCCAAAAAAACCCTAAACCCTAAACCCTAAACCGTTACACTCTGAAATCAACTCGGTCTTCCATGACCACCACGATGGCTCAGGGGATGGGCTGATGACCACCTTCTCATCGGCTTGAAATCTAGAGCCCAAGAAACCCTAAACCCTAAACCCTAAACCCTAAACCCTAAACCCTATAACCCTAAACCCTAAACCCTAAACCTAGACTGCAAGAAAAGTCTTCACCCCCCCAAGCATCCCCTCACCCTACACCCCTCACTGGGCCAGACACGATGTTCTGTTTGAGAGCATCAGTTCCCTTTACAGCTTCTACATGGGGGTTTACGTTTAGGGTTTAGGGTTTAGGGTTAAGGGTTAAGGGTTTAGGGTTTAGGGTTTAGGGTTTAGGGTTTAGGGTTTAGGGTTTAGGGTTTAGGGCCTCAGTCCGTGCTTAAAGGGGTTTAGGGTTTAGGGTTTAGGGTTTAGGGTGTATGATCTTAGGGCCTTGGGGTCCTTCTTGTCAAGGGGATCCTGCTATGTGGGGGTCTATATTCGGGTTCCCCTGTTGTCGTAAACCCCCCATGGACTTTTTTGTGCGGCGACCTTGCTCTCCGGCACAGCACGAGTCAGGTGAGTTTTGATTGGGGTTGGCCCCTAAGCCACCTAAACCCCCGGAACCCCCTACACCTCCTAAACCCTAAACCCTAAACCCCCTAAGACCTAAACCCAACTACTGAAAGGACCCTTCCGGCCCACCTATCAGGGCAGGTTTAGGGTTTAGGGTTTATAGGGTTTAGGGTTTACAGGCTTTAGGGTTTTTCTAGGATTTAGGCTTCTAGGTTTTAGGGTCTATATGGTTTATCATTTAGGGTTTAGCATGGGTATTTCACACAATACGGTTCGGGTTCTCTAAAGCGTTGTCCCTCATGGAGTTCCCAGGAGTACGGTTACGGATGTCGTGCCTTTCCGAAAAAGCCCCCCCCCCCCACTATGCCGCGAAGCCAAGCAATGAGTACTACGTACAATCCTCATTGTAGGCGCTCCTCCAAAGAAGACGTGACCACCCCAGAAGGTTTTGTATAGTCGCTTCTTAACACCCTAAGCCCTAAATACGTATCTTGGAAACTAACTGCCCTCCTACCTGGATGATTCGGAGCTGTCTACGTGCTTTACATGCTGAAGATTGCGAGCGCCACTGTTCAGGGGTATAAGGAGGGACCCCTATCTGTATGTATGTATATATTATATATATATATATATTTAGTTATCATTTCTAGCCACTATGTATCTAAGTAGCCCTGAACAATCCGCTAAATTTCGCCAGAAGGTCCCTCATAAGGGTCCCTCCTTTACCCTTGAGTCACTGCATGCCGGTGGACAGTGTTACTATCAGAGACTCCCTTCTGCTCTAAAGGAGCAGACGGTACTATCCTTCGGGGCTCAGGCACCAAACTGCCAGCTTTATACCCAAGACCTTACCAGAGTGTGTTCCCTGAACCAAGTTGAAAGGTTTAGGGTTTAGGGTTCAGGGTTAAGGGTTTAGCGTTAAATTCTTCTAAGTCCCTGTCTTGGTGGCTGATCCCTGTTGATCTGCGAGGTGACCAGAGCGAAGCCCGTCTCATCTCAAGATATGCATGCGCGCCTGCTTCTGTGGCAAAAAACGCTAAGCCTTGTGGAGCAAATGAACCCGAAAAAGGCTCTATGGCTCAAATAGCCCGAACAGGGATTATAGTAGTGTAGGGTATTTAACCCTAAATCCTAAACCCTAAGCCCTGAACCTTGAACCCCAAACCCCAAACCCCAAACCCCAAACCCTAAACCCTAAACCCTAAATCCGAAACCCTAAACCCTAAACCCTAAACCCCAAACCCTAAACCCCAAGGCAGAGGTCGGAGGGCATGCTGGTGGTCTGGGACTCGACGTGGGCCAGCCGACGCTGGGCTGCTAGGGTTTAGGGTTTAGGGTTTTAGGGTTTAGGGTTTCGGGTTTAGGGTTTCGGGTTTAGGGTTTAGGGTTCAGGGTTCAGGGTTCAGAGTTCAGGTTTCCGGGCCTGGTGGCGTCAGCTTCCTGACTTTATGCCAGGCACCTGAGAGCCCTGAGAACGCCCCTAAACCCTAAACCCTAAACCCCAGCCGAAACCCGACTTGACTTCATCCCCAGGCCTGGAGCCCTGAACTCTACATAGGGTTTAGGGTTTAGGGTTTAGGGTTTAGGATTTAGGGTCTGGAGTTTTTGTTTGTCCTGCCTTCTGCGAAGAAGTTTGTGTTGGTGATCGTTCTGTTCGGGGCCGGGGGGGGGGGGGGGGCCCCGGAAGCAGACTGTGCGAACATACTTCTTAACGGTTCTTGTGTGAGTCGACCAGGCCATGAAGCATCGAAAGGAAAGCCTAAGCTTAACAGTGGGTTTAGGGTTTAGGGTTCAGGGTTTAGGGGTTAAGGTTTGGGGTTTCGGGTTTAGGGTTTAGGGCTTACAGTGACACTTCTGCAGCCAAGGATTGTGAACCGGGGCCCCAAAGGGAGGCTCGGCGGCGCAGAAAAGCAAAGCGAGCCCTTCCGATCTTGCTCGTTTGGCAGCTCAATGTGGCTTCGTTCGCTCTTAGAGGGTGGGACTTGCTGGCCGCTGCGGAAGCCAACAGGGTGGACATCGTTGTTATGCAGGAAACTCGCATGACGTGCGAAGAGGCCGCGCGGGTCAACAACAGTCTCAAGCGATGGACATTGTTTCATCAACAAGAAGAGCCTCCGAAGCAGCGGGCTACTACCGAAGGCGGAGTGACTGTGGCGGTCCGACGGGGCATCCCTGCCGTCAAAGGAGCGTCGCACTGTAGCGGTGCGGGCCAGTGGCTGCGCGTGGCTCTCCCGGGGCTTCATGTGACATCGGCCTACCGAAGACAGCTCAGCTACGAAGAGCTGGCAGACTACAACGAGTCTCTTTGCGCTGACTTGGCGAGTTTGGGCAAGACGGCTACTATGACTTTCGGAGACTGGAATCATGATCCTCTTACCGACCCGCTCAATGTGCAGGCGGCTGGGACCAGAGGCATGGTGCACTACCCCACCCTGCCCAACCCTGCTGAGGGCGACGAGCCTCAAGAACCTCTCCCCGCCCCGACTCGGTGGGCCTCGAATCGCTGCATCGACTGGGCGGTGAGAAGCAACGTCCAAGCCTCAGTTAAGCTCCTGCTCGACAAGTGGTCAGACCACAAGCTGTTGGAATGGAATATCGCGGGTCTCTCAACAGGGGGGCTTTTGAACTTCAAGCTCAGGCAAACCTCGGATTTGCGCAAACCCGACGATGTGTCACAGAAGCAGTGGGATGAGGTCATCGACCGCTTGTGGAACAGGTCGGCTCATGAACGCTGTAGCACCAATTTGGGCGAGTGGGAACAGCTCTCCAAGGCTGTAGAGGACGTGATGCGCGAAGCTCTTAGGGAGCTCGGAGCTCAGCGTCGCTTCACGACCAAGAACTACAAAGGTCAAGTTGCTGCTGTAACCCCGGATGTGCGACACCACAGGCCAAGTCCTCAGGGGGTCCCGACAGTCCGTACTGCCAGGCTGCGTCGTTTCGGACGGCGTGTCGAGCAGTACCACCGGCACCCCGAGCCTGCCCTGTCTCGCTGTGCGCTTAGGGAAGCTGCCTTCTTCGAGTGCCCTCTCTCCCCTCTCGAGCCTGGCTCTCTCTCGGATTTCCGACTGTGGCTTGAGAACGAACTTCGTAGACTGGAAACTGCTCAACGAAACAAGCGTCTTCGGGAATGGAAGCAGAAGATGCAACAGGAGGACGGTCCGGTCTGGCGGTGGCTCGCTAAGGCCAAAAAGACCGAGGTTACGTGCGGGCTCAAGGACTCCAGCGGGCAAGTCATGACGCCCGTGGCAACCATGCAAACTGTCGAAGCTTTCTGGCGTCGGCGTTGGCCCGGCAGCGAGGACCTGGCTGACAAACTGGAGGTTGTTGAGAACCTCCCAGGCCTTCCAAAAGTAACTAATTAAGAAAACCTCTCTTAATAAAGGCAATAGTCGCTAAAGTTCGTCTCAATTTAACGACTATTTCGCTAATTAGAGGACATTAGTCTTTAATTAGGGTAGTTAGTTTTTAACGCCTGCAATCTTAATTAGCGACTATTATCTTAATTAGCGACTATAGTCGCTAATTAAGCAGCGTTCCAATTCCCAGATTTTTGCATTTCATAAAACGTCAACATCACCCTTTGAGACCAGTTTGTTAGAAGACACAGCCACTCTTTGCCAGCATGCGCACGGCGTACAGTCCGAACCATCGCGTGCAACAATTAGAATTCATCGATGCGTGTGATCTGTTTCGTGTTTAAGGTTTAAGGTTTCGGGTTTCGTGTTTAAGGCTTACAGTTACGGGTTTCGAGTTTCGGGTTCGGACTTCGCTGCCTAGGGTGCCCGGCATGTTTAAGTGCCGTTCGGTCGCATCGGCTTGACTTGTTTCTTGTCTCTGGTGATTTTCACAGTTTAGTTTTCGCGTTTGGTTTTCACTCATCTGACACTTCGATAGTTTTTTTGTTCGATGATGTTACGGAATGGGTGTTGTCTAAACTGTGAATATTTCAAGGCTCCGGATGGGTTGTTCTTATTACAGTATTCTGGAGTTTACCTATGTCGTTCGTCGGATTTAGATGGAATAGTTATTTAAAGCTTGATGTTTTTTTGTTTTAACATCCTAGAGTTTCGGAACGATTTTCCGAATTAGTTCCCTCCACAAGCAGCGGCAGAATACACAAATATTTTTTGGTGTAAAAACCATAAAAATATTATTTTGTTTTTCGATGTAAACAAAATTCGAGAGTTATAAAAAAAGCAAGGAAAAAACTTTAGAAAAAAACTTGGCCGAAGCTTAGAAGTAATTGTTTGATATGCTTTCAATTTATAAAATGTTGAATTTTAGGAATTTATGTATATTTTCCAAAAAATTTTAGAATTTTTAAAAAAAAATTTGGATTTTTTTTTAAAAAACCTTTTTAAAAAATTTTAAAACTTTTAAAAAATGAGTTTTGCTTGTATTTAGAAAGGAAAACATGTTTTTAAAAATTTAAAAAAACCTCTTTTTAAAAATTTTAAAAATTTAGTTTTTTAATTTTTTTTAAAAAATGTTGTTCTTATATTTTGTCTCCAAAATACTTCTTAGAAAGAAATTTCAAGATCATGAAGACTGTATTTTCGAAAATCTACTTTTTACTCTTTGGTATATATTTTCGCAAACACACAGGTTTAAAAAAACGGACGGCTTTAATTTAGCATTGTTGGAAATGCAGCATTTTTAAATCATGTAAAAGGATTCATCCATTTTTTCATATATTGCACAAGCTTGTAAGACGTTTGGAAGAAGTGCGAACTCGAGATCAAAAAACAACTAGTAAAGGTACCTGAAGCAAAACAACACACACACACACACCCAAAAAAACTTTAAACAAGCACTCCGGGATTTTGAAGCTTACGGCCTGGATCCAAAACCCTCCTGAACTCTACACCCTAAACCCTAAACCCTAAACCCCATACCCTAAACCCTGGACCCAAAGACCCTGAACCCTAAACCCTAAACCCTGAACCCTGCCTGCCCCAAACCCCAAAACTCGAGGTAAAGTTTCCTACCTAAATCCTAAACCCTAAACCCTAGACCCCAAAGCAAGCCTGAATCCAGAACCCTAAACCCTAGACCTAAGCTGCAAGCCGGACACCCCAGACCCGAAAGCCTAAAGCCCGAGCCATATACCCGAAACCCTCAGGCCCTAAACCCAAAGCCTCAAGCCACGCCCGCGTGCACCCTTTTGTTTTTGTCGGCGAGCGTGCGCCGGTGCTGTCAGAGTCGGCAACATTGTTTTCAAGCAATCTGAAGAAACATATATTGAAACATATGTCAGAAATACGTACGAAAAACAGTCCTTAATTGACGACAACGTACTGTCGCTAATTAAGGAAATAGTCGCTAATTAATTTCAGGCCTGGGTTGTACCACGAGTTTGGGCTCGGGGACCAGGTCCGGCATCCTGGCATGCCGCCTCTCTCAGGCAGCGACCTTAAGCGCACCTTGTCACGGCAAAAGGGCAAGGCTGCGGGCCCAGAGGGTTGGAGGCCGGAAGAGCTGTGGAGTTGTCCGGCGCCAGCCTTGGACCTGCTCGCGGCTTTCCTCAACAAGGTTGAACAGGGGAGTAGCTAGTAAGCCAAACAAGCCCGCCGGCGAGTTAGGAAGCTTGCGACCCATCAGCATCGGCTCAGCCGTATATCGGACGTGGTCGGCCACTCGGATTCGACAGCTCGGGCCTTGGCTTCGGCGTAGGTTCCCAGACCAAGTGCACGGAGGGAGCCCTGCCAGGTAGGGGGGTTCACACCGCCCTACTTGAGCCGCTCGCAGAGATCGAGGCCACTCAGCGGTCTTCTCAAGGGAGTCTCCGCTATCTGGGCTCCTCTGACTTATCTAAGGCCTTCGATACGATGCACGGCCCTCTCGGCCGGGACTTAGGCGCTTAGGAGTGCCGAGGATCTGTGCGATGCTTGGCACCGAGCATGGACCTCCCAAGAGCGGGTGCTCCAACTGGCGGCCTTCTGCAGCCAGGGTGCGGTGACTGAGGTCATGGCCTTGCCGCAAGGCGACCCGGCGTCCCCGGCTGCCTTGACAGCTCCTCTCGTGGAGTCCCTTCGGCGCATCCAGAGTATCTTCGCTGAAAGAAGACATGGGCGCACTTTGTTCAGGTTGTTTCTTGACGACAGAAGCTGGTTCTGTGAAAAGCGCCAGACTTGTCTGGACGTCGGCCGAACGTGGCTTCGCGAAGTCACCGTTTGGGGTTTAGGGGAGAACAAATCCAAAGCGGATTTCGGCGTTGTGGGTTCGGCTCAGGCGCGCCGGCGCATGCAAACCGAGCTGCGCCGTCGCGAGCAGGTGGGGGAAGTCAAGCTTCGCCCACGCCTCCTGGGCTCTCGAGTGCACACGAACAGGGCGCACAGCAAGCCACAAGGAGAAGAGCGTGACCGGCTCGTTGAAGCCAAGAGGATGGCAGCCTGGGGTAGTCACCTGCCCTGCGACCAGGCCCGAAAGGCCTACTTCCTCAAACAGACTGCGGTGGCTAAGGCTGCTGCTCCCACGTACGTGAGGCTGGAGGCCCTTAGGGCTCTTGAGGGGGTTCAGTCTGCTATCAATCGAGCTGTTCGATCGTCTGGGCATGCCAGAGGAGGGAGTTTGGCTGACTTGTTTTTGGGGCATAGTGCTTGTCTCAAGTTTCGTCACGGGCATGTTGCTTCGGTTCAGGTTTTGGTTCAAAGTCATCTGCCTGTGTTGCGGGCTGCCTGGCATCAAGGCCGTTCCTACGGACCCGTAGGTTTGGCTAGGAGGTGGATGCAGAGGCACGGGTGGAGAGAGGCTGGGGTCTTTCGGTGGACGCACCCACTTACCCAGGCCACTTTGTTCTCAAGTGATGTCAACATAGGCCGGCAGGAGAGAGGCATTCGGCTAAGGGAGCAAAACAAAGATGCCATCAACCACGCCTTGCGTGACGCGTGGAGGGCTCGGTGCTGGTTCACGTGGCTGGCGCAGGGCTCTAACCGGGCTAGGCCGCTGGCCGCTCTGTCTTGGCCCCAAGTGCGTGGCAGGTTTAAGATGGCTGTTAGTATCTTGAACCAGGTCCCCTGCGAACTGAAGTCTCATGCTCAGGCGGTCATGGTGGGACACATGGTGTCCCCAGCGGCATTCCACGTTATGTCCAGTCCGCAGGCTGCTATGATCCCATGCCCCTTCTGCGGGTCTCATGAGGCGCCGGACTTCGAGCACGTGATGTGGTCATGTGAGCACTTTAGTGAGACAAGGCCCGCTTGCGGCGCCCTAGACCCTTTGCAGCTTTGGCTTGCGTGGCCATCGCAGGCTAAGGCACAAAAGGAGAACCTTCAAGTGGTACTTCACGCAGCTGAAGTTCGGAGGGGCGTGTTGCGAGCACGCCATGACACGGACTCCTAAGGACCGGTGCCAGCAGTGCGGCAAGAGCGCCTCGTCGGGGCGAACCTCTACCGCACCAGCAACTACTACTACTAAGGCTCGAGCGAGTGCAGGCTGCGGTAGTTCCCCCGTAGGTCTCCTGCGGTGCCGCAGCTATAGGAGCAATGGTTGCGCCGGACCCAGCGGCCCTTGTGGCAGCAGCGGTCCGAGCAGCTTGTCTGGCCAAGGCCCCCCGCCGCACGGTGCAAGGCGTTGCAGCAGCAGTTGTCTCTGTTCTCATGAGACCTGCGGAGGCAGCGCCGAGCACAGTCCGGGCGAGACTGCCAGAGGCCCGGCGGCGCATGAGGCCGTCGTGGAAAAGAGTGAGGAGGAGCGGCGTGAGGCGGTCAGGGCCAAGCGTCGGCTCAAGAGGCAACGCAAGAAGGCAGCTCGAGCAGCGGCTGCTGTCAGCAGTGCCAATAAAGAGCAGGTTGCAGACGAGGCTCACCAAGGATCGGCTGGGGACGCCGAGACTGCTGAGCCCGCTGTGGAGGGCGCAAGCACCCCGAGAAGGACTACGACTCCAACGTTTGAGCGCGGCCACACGGGCCTGACCCCCCCCGGCAAGCGGCAGTGTTTGGATGCCAAGGATGGTGATGGCGTCGGCGTCGACGAGGAGCCGGAGATGGGTCGTCGACTCAGTATTGAGAGTGTGGAGAGCATGGCTTCCGACTGCACGGTGTTTTCGGACTTCGGCGGGGACGGCCGTGATGGCCTGCAGTGGCAACCAGGTGGTGACAGGAGCGAGGCAGCTGCTAACAACAGTCTCCTGTCGGGCGAGGGCGCCTGAGCTTCCTCGGCTCAGGGTGCATGCCTGGCTGGCGTCGTCGAAGTGCGTGCTGGCTTGGAATTTGTTTTGGTGGCGCCGGGCTTTCATGCTTGGCTACTTTTGGGCGGGCCCCGCAAAGCGGGCTCCTGCTTGTCAGCCGGGCGGGTGGCGTCTAGACAACCTTCCTGGTCTCAGTCTGTCGTCATTTTCGTTAACAACAACAACAGCAACTACTACTACTACTAATGTTGACTTCGCATTAATAAACCCCCCCCTTCATTGATCAATCTTTTCGGCCAGGGCCTCCTCAATAATATCCGCCTAAATCCTGGTAGGACGTAGTATTAGTTTTAGTATTAGGTAGTGTCTGCAGCCAGCAAGCTCTAAACTCATTCTCTTCCAACACCCTGAAACTTATCAGTTTAAGTTAGTTGCACAACATCGCCCGAAAAAAAATAATTCCGGGCGGGGATTTTATAATTGTGGCGGGTTACATTATTGTGTTCCGGGCAGCGGGATTTTATAATTGTAGCGGGCTTTATTAATGTCAAGTCAACATTAAGGATTGTGGTGTGTGTTCGAGCTGGCGGCCTTTATCCACAGCCGTCGCACTGGAGAGAAGATGCACCTGCTCATACGTCCAATAGCCTCGTGGTAGCAGCAGGTAAGCTTTTCGTGGTACAATCGCCCCAGAAACCCCAAACCATGAACCCTAAACCCTCACCCTAAACCCTGAACCCTGAACCCTAAACCCTAAGCCATAAACCCTAAACCCTAAACCCTAAACCCTAAACCCTAAACCCTAAACCCGCCCGTAAGGTTATGGGGCCCGCACTTGTGTCAATGACCTGTGGCTTAGTCGTGGCGACCGTGGCCTTTTCCAGCAACTTCGTGGAAGGCCACATCAGCTGGCAAAGAACCTAGGACGTTTTGAGGGTTTAGGGTTTAGGGTTTAGGGCCTAGGGTTTAAGGCTACTAGGCTCGTGTCTAGGTTCCTAAACCCGAAACCCTAGACCCCTTTAAGCAAAGCAGGGCACCCTTCTAATCCCAGGCTACTCGGCAACCTAGGAACTCTGGGCATCGTTATGATTGTGTCCGCTTTGTGCCTACTGTTCTGCGCACACAATGTCCGTGTCTTCTGCCGAAATATCGACAACCTTCAAAAGCAGCTCGTGGACTTTCGTGTTGAAAATGCGAGATGTACCTTGGGCACGACATGAACCGTAAAAGGGTTTATGGTTCATATACCTTACTAGGATTGCAGTAGTATGGGGTCTATGACCCCCCAAACTTAGGGCCCATGTCGTCCCCAAGGTAGCTGCTGCGACCGCTGCGATGCGAACCACATCGACCGTGCCACGGGTGAGCCCCTGCGTTGCGACCGGAAAATTCTGACGGAAGTGATCACCACCTGGTTCGGCAGCATTGAAAGTTTCTTGACTGGCAGGAAACTGATTTCGCCCTGAATCCCCGGCGTATGAAGTCAAAGAAATGGGTATTTCCCAAAATAGGAGTACCCTTTTTATGCCCCAAAATAGAATAGAATCTTCTTTAAAGGGAGCCCCAAAAAGGGTACCCCTGATTATCTGTTTGTACTGGTAAAGCAACGTCTTCCGCCCACCCAAACCCGGAGTCCTCAACTGCAAGCTCTAAGTTCCAAGTCCCCACCCTAAACCGTAAACCCTTTATGAAGTTGTGTTTATATTATTGTTTTTGGTGAGTGTATATAAGGTTCCTGTTTTAACATTGGTGAGTATATATATATATATATTGGGTGTCCTCTTGGGGTACAAGAAATATGTACCCTACTTCATATACCCTGCCTATAGGCCCTAAACCCAGAACCCTCTACCCTGTATACTACCCTAGATGCCCTATAAACCCTCTAAACCCTACATCCAGAACCCTCACGCTGCCGAGGCTTCGAACGCCAAGTACAGGGGCAAGTGAGGACTATACTGCTGCGCCAGCTTGTAAGCACGCGCTTCATTTACTGCCATGTATGCGCCGGCGCAAGCGGCTTGCTTGAAAGGCGGCTTGGGGTTCATGGGGTTACTGTAGGGTTGAGGGTCGAGGGTTCCCATCAAACGCTGAAACTGCCCGGGTTGATGGTGGGAGACAAGGTTGCGTCTTGTGGTACTACCTGGACCTCGCTCTATGGGACGCGGCCTATGGAAGTGCATCTATCAGTCGCGGGCTCTTGACCGGATTGCGAGCTTTGGTGTGGTGGCTGGCTCTCGAACCTTGGCAGCCCTGTGGTGCTCTTTACATTTTTTTTATGGGTTCCCTTCTGAATTAGCCAACTCCAAACCAAAAAGGGTGCCCTTATTAAAGGTTACAATATGGTTACCGGGCTACCAAGGAACCGACCCTTGTCATTTTCTCCATTGCTGCGTCTTGGTAGCCCACTGGCACCCTTGACCCTGGTGTTTGCTCAAGGGAAAGCCAGCAACCAACGCAGAAACAGGTTATTATTATTGTGATAAGAGGGTTGTTCTTTTTGGCGGGTTCTTGTGAGATACTTAGGAGGTCGATTAGGGAAAATGTCGGTCGTGATAAAACGTGCACACCTCTCGAGCGCGCGCAAGCTCGCGCAAGGGCGAACGCAAGCTCTGCGCAAGCTATCTCTTGGCGATGTTTTTCTTGACCCTCCACATCTACTAGTACTTGCGAAAACCTCGCGCGCGCAAGCCCGCGCAAGGTTGGCGCGAGGGCGAAGCGCAAGGGATCCTAATTGGCAGCCATGGACAAGGGGGTGCCAAGGTGTGCTGGCTGCTGCGCAAGCGCTGCAGCAAATATCTTGTAGTCGACATCCTCCTCACTGTCAGCACCATGATCGTGCCTGGGCTCCTCGGATTGTTAACTTGTAAAGGGGTCTAAGGAGGGACCCCCCTTAATCTTATTCCCCTATATTATACCCTATGTAGTCCCTATACACTTAAGAAGTAGCCCTGAAGACCCCCCAAATAACCCCTAAGGTCTCTCATAAGGGTCCCTCTTTTACTCCCTTGGATATTGCTGTCTCAGGGAAAGGGGGGGGGGTATGTGCATCTTAGCCACTTCAGGTACCTTTCGTGCCACAAAACCCAGCTGCCAAGAGCTTTTTACTTACGTTTCGCGCCACATGGGGTCTTCCATGAGCAACGTGGAAACAGTCGTGACGCATCCACGCCCCAAGACACATGTGCTTCGCTGCGAACCCGAAGAAGCAGCCAAAAACTCTGAGCCCTAAACCCTAGCCCTAAACCCTAAACCCCTAAACCATAGAATTTGCAGGCCAGAGGAGCTCCTGCAAGGGGTAGATGGGTGCCGAAAGAAGCAGATTTCTCATTCTTACGTCATGCGTGTTGGAACTCATATACTTCTGGCTGAATCCTCACTTTTAGGAAGACCAAAACGGGTACCAATGTCCGAAACCCACACTCGAATTTAGGGTTTTGAGGGTTTAGGGTTTTCAAATTCCGAAAGTGCTCGAACTGGGGTGGGGAATATTGATTGGATGTCGTGACTCTGTCGGGAGGCTTCTCAAAACTAAGCCCCTGGTCTCTGTAGCCCGAAACACCCAAACCCCTGACCCGAAACCCTAGACCCTAGACACTAAACCCTAAACCCTAAACCCTTCACCCTAAACCCTAAACCCTAAACCCTAAACCCTAAACCCTAAACCCTAAACCCTAAACCCGAATCCTTCAAAACCCCCCTGAAGGATTGCCTTGATCTGCTTGGTCTTATTGGAGCGCCTGCTGAGACCCGGCATTTCACTGCTCGGTGGCCTGACCTTTGCGGCCGCGATGGCCATCATCGTGGCGGTTTCGTGGAACCTTGTGTGCAGGTGCTTTCCCCGCTGAAGTAGGGTTTAGGGTTTAGGGTTTAGGGTTTTGGGTTTAGGGTTTAGGGTTTAGGGTTGGGGTTAAGGGTGTTCGGTTTGGAGAGCCTTGTGTGCAGGCTTTTCCCGCTTGTGGCTGAAAAAGGTCCGCATCATACAGCAGCAAACCCCTCGAAACCAAGACTCGAAAGCCCTGGGACAGCGACCATTTGTTCAGAAATTCTCCCTAAACCCTAAACCCTAAGCCCAATCCATAAGAACCTCCTGAGGACACTTTTGGGTTTCTATATGGATGGTGCGGAGGAGTTAGAATTTAGGGCATGAGGATTTACGGCGTAACGACAAGGCTCTCGGGGCCTAAACCCTAGACCCTAGACCCTAAACCCGAAACCCTAAACCTTAAACCCTAAACCCTAAACCCTAAACCCTGCCAGGTCTAACAAGAGGAGTCTATGGCTTGTCTAGGTTTCGGCACCCATGCCATCTTGAGATTGCTCATCCAAGCGTGAGCCCCAACGTTTAGGGTGAGGGGCCCATGGAAGGGTTTAGGGTTTAGGGTTTAGGGTTTAGGGTTTCGGGTTTCGGGTTTCGGGTTTCGGGTTTAGGGTTTAGGGTTTAGGGTTGGTTCTAAGCCTACAACCCTAAACCCTGAACCCTAAACCCTTCCTTTTCTGATCCAGCGCCTCAACCTGGAAACCGCAAAGCCACGAAAAAGCACCCCCGAGGACCTCAAGCCCTAAACCCTAAACCCCTAAAAGCCCTGAAAGCCCTGAAAGCCCTGAAAGCCATGAACCCGAACCCTAAGCCCCAAACCCTAACAACTAACAACCCTAAACCCCAAACCCTAAACCAAAAAACAAAAACACGGCACCAAAACTGCCCTGCAGGACACGGAGCCAGCGCCTGGAGGTCGGTGGCCTGGGTCTCTTTCTGGCTAACAGAGGGTTTAAGGGGCCTCGGCCTCAGCATGGGCTCAAACAAGGGTTTAGGGTTTAGGGCTTACGGTCTAGGGTCTAGGGTTTCCGGTTTAGGGCTTAGGGCTTGCGGCTTTGTATGATTTCCAACAAACCGCTGGGGAAATCCAAAAAGTAGAACCCCCAAATCGTACCCTAGGGTCATTTTTTGGATCCTCCAGGGGTATGTTTAGGGTTTAGGGTTTAGGGTTTAGGGTTTAGGGTTTAGGGTTTAGGGTTTCATTCGTCCAGCACCCAGTGGGTAACCTGTTACCCTTTTTGTAAACTCGGCCCTTAAGTCGCGGGAAATCCTGCTGCAGCACTTCTCGCCAAGAAGAAGCCCTAAACCCTAAACAACCCTAAACCCTCATAAACCCTACAAACCCTGTAATACTTACAAAGCCCTTATAAACATAAACCCCACAAACCCTGCAAACCCTTATAAGCCCCAAATACCCGAAAGGCCCTTTTAACCCCAAAACCCTATAAAACCTATGGACCCCTAAAACCCTACAAACCCTATAAACCTTAATCCTTAAACCCCTAAACCTTAAACCATTAAACCCCTAAACCCCTACACCCAAACCCCTGAAACCCCTGAACCCTTAAAACTTCAAAGCCCTAAAAGAGCCTGAAGCTTTCGACCAGGCCCGGACCAGGGACATGTGGCCGTGGACGCCCCTCGGACCACGACTTCTCGGTAGCCCACCGAGGGTTTAGGGTTTAGGGTTTAGGGTTCAGGGTTTTGGGTTCCCTTAGCAAGACAAGTCGGCTACCCCAAAAAATAGACTCATCTAACCCTAAACCGTCCACCTTGCATCCTCATTTTTTTTTGGGTTGTTGGGCTACCACGATTGTTCAGGTCTTTGAGTTTAGGGCTAGGGCAAGAGGGGCTTTAGGGGGGGTTGCGAGAGTTGTGCCGTTCAGCCCTTGATTTATTTCTTTATTTTGGGTTTATTTGTTTATACTTCTAAAAACACTTAGGGGGCGTGTGTACGCTGGTTTAGGTTGAAGATGCCTTCACCCTATTTGTCTGAGGCTGGTGGAATCTAGCGTCCTGAGCTTATATACAGCGCACAGAGTGGAAAGGAACTCGCGACCTTGGCCGGTCGAAGGGAGTTAGGCTCTAGGCGGCCTAAGCGCTTGGTGCTTGAGAATCAAGTCACTGAGTCGATTGTTTTGAGCCCGCGCCCTCGGGACGATGTGGGGATTGACTTAAGTTGAACATGTTCAGTACTATTGCTGTTGGTCAAGGTCCTTGTCATTGTTCGTTGTCGTATTCCTGTATTGTTTGGGCTTCTTTCAACAACCGAGGTTAACTTGAGTATACTTCTACCCGCCCCGAGATGTGTGACGATCACCCCCCCCCCCCCCCTGCTGGGGCCAATGAGCTTCTAAGCATCTAGAACCCATAACCCTAAACCCTAAACCCTAAACCCTAAACCCTAAACCCTGAACCCTAAACCCTCAAAGCCGAGACGGTGCTGTGCAGCCGGGCGGCACACTTCGTCGGCACTGGAACGTCCGGGACGTGGGAACCGCCCAAATCCTCCCAGGTGCTAGGGTGAGGGTTTAGGGTTTAGGGTTTAGGGTTTAGGGTTTAGGGTTTAGGGTTTAGGGTTTAGGGTTTAGGGCTAATTAGGGTTAGGGTTTAGGGTTCTGGGGTTTAGGGTTTAGGGTTTTAGGGTTCGGGTTTAGGGCCTCAGGGTCCATGGACCGAAACAGGCAAGACTGGGGCCTCAAAGTGCCTCCTATATAGGTACTTTGGGGCCCAAGTACATACCCCTAAACCCTAAACCCTAAACCCTAAACCCTAAACCCTAAACCCTAAACCCTAAACCCTAAATTCTTAACCCTAGACCCTAAGCCCTAAACAGGGTAGGGTTTAGTAGCCGTTCAGGGTGCAACAACAGAGAGGTTTATGGGGCTTGCGGTGCGCATGCCGAGGGTCGCGGGGCTGTGAGAAGATTTCCTGCAAACCGGTGGAAAGGGGGTTTGGGGTTTACGTAGGGTTTAGGGTTTAGGTTTAAGGCTGATAGGGTTTAGGGCTTAGTTTTTCGGGCTTCTGGTAGGACATCAGTTTGTCCAGACATGAAGTCGGACAAGGGTTCTTTGAGTTTGCTAATGTAAGGTGGACTGCTGTTTTTTGGTGTTTTTGTTTGTGTGTGGCGGGGGAGAGGGGGGGGTTCCCGTTAGAGATACCAGTTTGCACTTGGCATTTTGGAGCATGTGCAAGCACGTGGCCTGGCTGTGGCATGTATCGTCGCTGGTCTTGGTCGCACGTATCGTTAGTCACCGTTAGCCACCGTGGTACGCGACTGGACACCGAACACAGACACAGGGCCACCAGACTCTTAAGGATTCATATGTTAGAACGCGGGTTCGATGAGGCAACCCTAAACCCTAAACCCTAAACCCTAAACCCTAAACCCTGAGTTCCTACAAACCTTCAACCCTTTAAAGCCCTGAGCCCTGAACCCCGGAACCCCACACCAAAGCGAAAGCCCTTCAAATTTCAAGCCCTGAATGCATCTGAATGCTGAACCCTAAGCCCCAAACCCTAAACCCCAAACCCTAAACCCCAAACCCTAAACCCTAAACCCCAAACCCTAAACCCTAAAACCCTAACCCTAAACCCCAAACCCTAAACCACAACACAGACCTTTAAACCCTGAACCCTAAGCCCTAAACCCTGAACCCTAAAACTCTCTTATAGAGGTCCTCGCTGTCCGCGCTGATCTCGGCGCTCCGCTACGCCGCCAACAGCCATTGGGCGGATGTTGGCTCAGGGTTTAGGGTTTAGGGTTTAGGTTTTAGGATTTAGGATTTAGGTTTAGTGTTTGGAGTTTAGGGTTTAGGATTTAGGGTTTAGGGTTTAGGGTTTAGGATTTAGTGTCTAGAGTTTAGGGTTAGGGTTTAGGGTTTAGGGTGTAGGGTCTGGGGTTTGGGGTTTCTGGTTTAGGGTTTACGGTTTAGTTAGGGTTCAGGTTTCCGGTAAGATGTAGGGTCTCGGGCTGTTGGTGTGTATTTGCCCATTCTGAACTTCTGGCATGAGGCGCCTTGAATCCCCTACAACCCTAAACCCTATACCCTAAACCCCAAACCCTAAACCCTACAAAAGGGATTGTTGAGGCTATGAAATTCAAGGCGTAGGGTGGTTCTGGTTTTGTTTTTGCTTTGTTTTTCGCTTTTGGTGGGGGTGAGAGAGGGGGAGGGGTGGGGAAGTGACACTCGGTATTTGCGAGTTGCTGAACCTTTCTATAGATTCCTTAAGCATTAAGGGAGGGGGGTTAGGGAACCTTGGGTTACATCCCCTCTTGAAACCCCTCCTCCCTTAAGAACCTTACAACCTACGTAAGGTTTGGTGTCTTTGGAAGGGTACCCTAAACCCTAAACCCTAAAACCCAAATAGACACTATACTTCCAGGGACATATAGTCGTTAGGTTACTCGAACCCATGCAAGGATGCAAAAAAGTCTGGTGCCCTAGGCCCTTTGCCCTAAACCTCAAAGTATAATCGGAGAGTGATAAGTAAAGATTCCCTGAACCCAAATCCCTAAACCCTGAACCCTCAACCCTCAGCATTGAATCCTAAACCGCAACCCGTGTAACAAAACAGTTGTAACCAATCCCTTTTTATCACCGGACGTGTCGCATGCGAGGCCCTAAACCCTGAATCTTTACTCTAAACCCCAAACCCCAAACCCCAAACCCCAAACCCTAAACCCTAAACCCTAAACCCCAAACCCCAAACCCTAAACCGCCTAAACCCCAAACCCCAAACCCCAAACCCTGAACCCTAAACCCTAAACCCTAAACCCCAAACCCCAAACCCTAAACCCCAAACCCTAAACCCTAAACCCTACCAACCTTAAAGCCCTAGGCCACAGCTCCACGAGCTTCTTCCCCCGCGGCCGCTCACTGCCCTTGGAGGAGTTCGAGCCGGGAGCCCAACAATGCCCAAAAGGGTTTAGGGTTTAGGGTTTGGGGTTTGGGGTTTGGGGTTTGGGGTTTGGGGTTTCGGGGTAGTTGTCGAAAGTGGGGTCGCTTTTTTGGGGCCCTTGTTTTCTGTGG